GTAAATATATAGTGAGAAGGAGGCCATCTACATACCAGGAAGAGAGCCCTCACTGGAAACCACAAGTCAGCTAGACCCTTGATCTTGTACTTCTAACCTCCAGAGCTGTAAGAAAACAAATTCCTGCTGTTTAAGCCACCCAGTCTGTGGTACTTATGACAGTCCTAGCAAACTAATACAGATTGCCTTGGCTCAAAGTTTCCCATGGGGTTGCAATCAAACTGTCAGCCAGGATCATCCCAAGTATCAACTCCATGCACATGGTATTGGCAGGATTCAGTTTCTTGTGGGATGCTGGACCAAGGACCTATATTTCACTAGCTATTGCTAGGAGGCCTCTCTCAGTTCCATGGCACAGGGGTCTTTCCACAGAGCAGCTAACAATATGGTAGCCAGTTTCTATCACAGCAAGGAACTGAAGGAGCAAGGGAATAAGAGAATGCGAGAGCAAGTGTCTGCTCAAGATGGAAGCCAGGCTTTTACTTAAACCTAATCTCAGCAGAGACATCCCATCACCTTTTCTTTTTGTTAGAAATGTCACTAAATCTAGCCCACACCCAAGGAGAGATTTTAAAAGGGCCTGAATACTAAGAGGTAGGTATTATTGGAGGCCATCTTAGAGGCTCCCTACAAGGTCTCAATGGCCAAATTTGGGACAATTTGAGCAGCATAATAAATGATGACACTAATGGATTAAAATTGATAGAATAAAAATCCGTGAATCCATACTGTTATATAAAACAATTGAATAAACAAACACAAATCTTCAACACATGATGAGGTTATGTCCTGATAAACCCATCATAAGTTGCAAATACATTTAATATACCTGACTTACTGGACATCACAGTTCAGCCAAGCCTTTCTTAAATGTGCTCAGAACACAGTAATCTAAAGTTGGAAAAAGTCATCTAACACAAAACCTATAATAAACTACTGAATATCTCTCATGTATTTTATTGAATACTATACTTAAAGACACAGAATGGATGTATAGAATGGTTCCAAGTGTATTGGTTGTTTACCTTTCCGATTGTGTGGCTGACAGCTTCACTGTCACTACCCAGCATCACAAGAGTATCATACTACTTATCGCCAGCTCAGGAAATGATCAAAGTTCAAAATTCCATGTAGAGTTTGTCCTCAACTTTTGCTTTTGCAAAGCACAAAATTATAAATTGAATCACTGTAAGTCAGGGACTGTTTGTAAATAAATGGAGGGGAAAGGACACAGCTATTCCTTTCAGTAGAATTACATTTAACAACGGTAGAAAGAAAATTACCATTAGGTATATACCACATTAATAAATGCTGTGAGCAAGAATAGAATCTAAAATTACAGGATGAAATTCTGATTTTAAAAAATAAGGTAAATGCAAAGTCTTAAATTTTCTCCCCACAGGCTACTTATTAATTTATAAAGAAAAATTTTAAGTTTATAGTACAGAAATCTGATAACCAGGCTTAACCAGTAATGACATCAATTTCATATACCTGTAATATGCTGCACCAAGAAAGATACAACATCACTTCTGTAATATGTCTTGCCAAAAATGCATAACCTTAATTTCATCAACCAGAAAACCCACACTGAGGGACATCTTACAAAATAGTTTTCCTATACTCTTCAAGTGTCAAGGGCATCAAAGACAAAGAAAAACTAAAGAATTGTCTAAGATTGCAGGTGGCTAAGATGACAGGAAAAACACACACATGGGATCCTAAATCGGATCTTGACCAGAAAAAGGACAGTTTGGATAGTGAAATTTAAATGAAGTCTGTAAATTAGAAAATAGTATTGTATAGGTGTTAATTTTCTCAATTAATTAGTTATGTAATATGCAAACATTAAAAGCTGGATGAAAGGTATACAAGAACCCTGTGTATTGCTGTTATTATATTTCAAACAGCTTTGCCTGCCTGCTAAGATGCTTCAGTTGTGTCCGACTTTTTGCGACCCTATGGACCATAGACTGACAGGCTCCTGTCCATTGGATTCTCCAGGCAAGGATACTGGAGTGGGATGCCATTTCCTTCTCCAGGGGAATCTTCCTGACCTAGGGATTGAATGCATGTGTCTTACATCTCCTGAATTGGGAGGCAGGTTCTTTACTACTAGTGCCACCTGGAAAGCCCATGTGTAATTTAACCACTAGCAATAACTCATCTAGTCCTCTGCAGCACTGGGCAACTACCAATATATTTTTGTCTCAATACAGTTGCCTATTCTGAACACTCTATATAAATGGAATCATATGGACATGGAAGTTTTTTGTAACCAGCTTCTTTCATTTAGCATGTTTTCAAGGTTCACCCCTTGTTATATGCTGAATTGTGTCCCCCCAAAAGGTGATGTTCTTTCTAATAATGCCAGTATCTATGAAAAGTGCCTTTATTTGAAACTTGGATCTTTGCAGATGTAAAGTAAAGATAAGGTCATTAGGTGTGGTGAGTCCTAATCCAATGATTGAGTCCTTATAAAAAGGGGAAATTTGGACACAGAGGTAAGACACACACGAGGAAAAGATGTTGAACTTTTTTATGTGCTTTATTGACCATTTATCTTCTTCGAAGAAATTTCTACTTGAATCGTTACCCTAGTTTTTAATCAGTTTATATTTTTTATTGAGTTGCAAGAGTTTATATATACTGAATGCATGCACGCACACTGTTGTATCCAACTGTGATCCCATTGACTGTACCCTGCCAGGGTCCTCTGTTCATGGGATTCCCCAGACAAGAATGCTGGTGTAAGTTGCCATTTCCCCCTCTAGGGGATCTTCCCGATCCAGGGATTGAGCCTGCATCTCCTGCATTGCAGGTGATTCTTTACTGCTTGAGCCATCTGGGAAAGAATTCTGGATACTGCATCTTTATCAAATACATGATTTGCAAGTATTTTCTCCCATTCTGTGGGTTGTCTTCTAGCTTTCTTGATGGTGTTATTTAAAGCACAAGAGTTTTACAATGTTATATCTGGTTTCCAATACTACTGTACATCTAAAATTACTTCAACATAAAAAAACTAAAAATCTATGTAAGAAGTTTGGAAGACTGTGCTCTAGACTACCAAAAGAAAGGAGAAATGTAATTTTTCCTTTGCTATTAAATACAATTCTGTTTCTTCTCCTTTTTTTTTCCAGATTATATAAGTGATGCAAATTCTCTGGAAATTAACATTAGTAAACTCACCATCCAGAGATAATTATCCCTGTCACTGAGGGTTATGTTCTCACACAAATATGTAAGTATTCATAAAAATTGAGGAGCACTTGTTCTTTGCAGGCAGAACTATTGTGATGCCATGTGCCACCAAGGAGAGGTAGTGGTGGCTTGAACTGACTCTATAGGTGAGTGATGGCTGTACTTTAGGAGAAAAAGTTTTATAGAGGGCAACCAGGGGTAAAGGAATGTCAAGGGAGCAGTGAGTAAACTCTTGATACTAAGCCAGACTGGATGACGCTGGATTTTGAAGGGCTTTACACGGCAATGGACGTGACCCACGCAGGCCACTGGGCATCCTTAAGGACTTGTGGACAAAGACGGCTGCAGACAATGTAAACGTCTGTGATACACCTCATATTCTGAGTACTCACATATAAATGACCATAGGTCCTGGTTGGTCACAGCCTCAGTTACACCTTCGATCTTCTAGTTGTACCCCCTTTCACTCTAAAAATGCCTAAGTTTGGGGGATAAATATCATCATCTACATACAGGCACATAAAATATTCTATTTTAATTCACTAAAAAAAAAATGCACATTGGCTGTGAGGCAGGAGGTAGATAGGCCCAGGCGATTGGAGATTCATTCCCTATAGACTGAAAAACTCCAAGATGAGAACAAGACAATTAAGGGGTGGAAGTTGGGCCTTTACAGTATAATCCATCCTGGCTAAGAGATGCATGTGCACACGTGGGTGGATCCTGAGATATACCAAATATGGGCTGTGAAACAGGAGAATCAAAATGATTGGCCAAAGGAAACCCAGAAGAAATGCCCCATAAAAGTAATTTTAACTACCTTGAGGATGTGACTCAGCGACTCACTCTCAGTCTGCCTGTGTGTCTATCCACAGTCCTGTATTCTTTTCCCTCCTATTAAATCCTTTATTTGCGTCACTACTTTCCTTCTTTGGGGCAATTCTTCTCTGCAAAGCCAAAGACCCAGGGCCTTTGTCACTGATCACATGTCTAGTGGTTAGGATTTGGTGCTCTCACTGCCAGGACCCTGCCTCAGCCCAGGGAACACACGCCCAGCTCCAAGCCCTATTGCTGGCACCCTAGATGAGCTGCAACCCATTAAACTGACTTTACGACACACATTAACTGTTCCTAATCCCAAAACTCTGACCAAGATGCCTGTCAGGTTTTAAGGAGGAAAAAGACACAGTTTAAGTTTGGATATGCACACTTTTGAGGCCGTGGTTCTCAACCTTGGCTATCCATCAAAATAGACTGAAACATTACTGAAAATGCACAGCTCCAGGCCCACTGCGTATAAAGCTCTATTACATGTATTTCTATGGAAAACACTGTAACATATTTGACAAACAATAAATGAAAGGGTATGAATACTTACAGACTTAAGTTAAAAGCAGAACCACCAAGAACCACTATGTACAGGAATATGTGACAGCCTGGGATGGAACACAAGCGGAAGCTAAAAGGGCACGACCCGGGCACGTCCTGTGTTAAACCAACCAGCGCCCCTCTCCGCAGGCCTTCCCAGGCCCTCGCCGACCCGGAGATAGGGTGGCGGGGCGACATAAAGCAGAGGAAAGGCAACAACCGACATGGCAGCTCCCGCAGGCCAGGCCCGCTCTGCTCGCCCGCGCCGGTACCGGCCACAAGCGGAACGCCTACCCACAGTGCCCCGCGGCGCGCACGCGCGCAAGCAGCCGTTCCCAGCTTGCAGCGCTGCGCGGCGGCCGAGCCGGCAGCGGGCCGCCTCTGGCAGCCCCGGGCCAGGCGCCCCCGTCCCCAGCAGCGGGGGTAAGATGGCGCTGAAGAGGATCCAGAAGGTAAGAAGTCCTTCCGCCTGAGGGCTCCTTGCGAGGCCGAAACGTCGACTCCCAGGCGGAGGCGCCACGGCCGCCAAAAGAACGGCGGCTGAGACCGAGCAGAGAACGGTAACACCTGCCAGGGAGGGAGGCGGAACCGCCGCCCGCGCGGCCTTAAAAGGGTACCGCGCAGCGCGCGGGGGCGGGGCGGCGTCACGTGGGGTTAGCGTCGCGCGGGACGGGGCGGGGCCCCGGGCGGGGCCCCGGAGGGTTACCGTTCCACACGCCTCCCCCGCCTCCCATCGCTGCATCTGTGGCAAGGGGCGGGCTCCCTGCTCCTTGGACGCTGTGTTCTGGGCGCCTTGGGGGGAGAGGTAGCGCCTGGCCTCAGAGGAAGGAGGGCATGCCCCTGTGGGGGTGTCTGGAGGGCTGGTCAGAGGAGTCGAGGCTGGAGCTGGATTCTAAGGGATGAGCACGAACTCTGCAAGTGTAGGAAAGGAACAGGGGCGTTCGCCGTCTTGGAGAGATGCTGTGGCTGGGCTTGGGTTGGGGAGAGCATGACTGGGCTTTAAGTGCCGCTGGAACAGGGGAAGGGAGTGGGTGGGCAGGACTAGGGTGGGGGTATTAGGGGCAGTGCTAGGATAACTTTTTTATCCTGTAGGTAATTGGGAGTCATTATGGGCATTTAATATATTAAATAGAATTTGGAGACTGCATAATAGGAGGAAGAAAAAGTATTTTCAGTTATGCCATATTATTGTTTATATCGTAGTATATCTACTATCAATCTTTTCCCTATTAAAAAAATTATACTTTACATCCTGCTTTTTCACATAGCATTAAACGTAGGCTTTTTTCATGTTAAATAGTATTCATAACTGTTGTTTTTAACGTCAGAGTTCCAAAGGTATATGACCAGTAATTTATTTACTCGTTACCTATAGTGAATAAACATATGGAAATGAATGTCAGAAGGCAAGGAACTTAATCATTCCCAGACTGCGTGTCCACATATTTTTATAGGTTTTTTTTTTTTTTAGACTTAGATGATACATGTTTAGTACATGCGTGGAATTTATCAAGCGCTCAGTATGAATTAACGGCCACTGATATTCTAAATTTTATAGGAAGTAAATAATACTGTGATAAGCCTCATTGTATGGTGAGTTTGGTCGATCAGTGGTAAAGAATCCTCCTGCCAATGCAGGAGTCTGTCGTTCGATCCCTGGGTTAGGAAGATCCCCTGGAGAAGGAAATGGCAACCCACTCCAGTATTCTTGCCTGGAAAATCCCATGAACAGAGAAGCCTGGTGGGATATAGTCCTTAGGGTCCTGAGAGTCGGGTGTGACTTAGTGACTAAAAGCAACATGGTGAGCTTAGGTTTGATTGTCTGAGGTGGGATTGCAGGGTCTCTTAAGAGTATGATGTTGTTGTTCAATCACTAAGTACTGTCTGACTTTGCATCCCATGGACTGCAGCACACCAGGCTCCTCTGTCCTCCACTATCTCCCAGAGTTTGCTCGAATTCACGTCCATTGAGTCAGTGATGCTGTCTAACTATCTCTGCTGCCCTCTTCTTCTCCTGCCCTCAATCTTTCCCAACAGCGGGGTCTTTTCCAGTGAGTTGGCTCTTCACATCAAGTGGCTAAAGTATTGGAGCTTCAGCTTCAGCATCAGTACTGTCAATGAATATTCAGGGTTGATTTCCTATAGAACTGACTTGTTTGGTTTGATCTCCTTGCAGTCCAAGGGACTCTCAAGAGTCTTCTCTAGCACCACGGTTCAAAAGCGTCAAGGGTATGCTAAGGGTGAGGCTCATTTTAATAAACAGGTCTCCTAAAAGTAATGTGTTTAGCAAATTATTCTCTGAAAGAGGTCATCTGTTATCCTAGGACTTTGAGACAGGTGAATGATACGCTCAGATCTGTGTCGCAGGAAGAGGCACTTCTATAGCCTGGAGTGGGCCAGAGAGGGACTGAGGGCGCCAAGAACGTCCAGCGAAGCTGCATCCAAGTGACTGACCGTGGAGCAGGTGCCGAGGCGGGAACTGTGCTTGGATGATGTGCAAAGGGTAGAATTGACAGAACTTGAAAACGAGGATGTGGTGAAAGTGAGGGAGGAGGATGCACAACCTGGATAACTGATTGGATGACAGTGTTATTGCCTGTCTTGGAAATCAAACATTTTGAGGGCAGGGAGTAGGGTGAGGGAGATAAGGGTGTAGGTTTGAAGTTATATGTCTGAACATGTAGACTGATTAAGATTTGTAAAAAGGAGAACTAGGAGAAGGTGAAGAGAAACTAAAGAGCCTTTTGATGAAAGTGAAAGAGGAGAGAAAAAAGTTGGCTTAAAACTCAACTTTCAGAAAACAAAGATCATGGCATGCGGTCCCATCACTTCATGGCAAATAGATGCAGAAACAGTGGAAACAGTGACAGACTTTATTTTCTTGGGCTCCAAAATCACTGAAGATGATGACTGCAGCCAAGAAATTAAAAGACACTTACTCCTTGGAAGAAAAGCTATGACAAACCTACACAGCATATTAAAAAGCAGAGACAGTACTTTGCCAACAAAGGTCCATCTAGTCAGAGCTATGGTTTTTCCAGTAGTCATGTATGGATGTGAGAGTTGAACCATATAGAAGGCTGAGCACTGAAGAATTGATGCTTTTGCACTGTGGTGTTGGAGAAGACTCCTGAGAGTCCCTTGGACTGCAAGGAGATCCAACCAGTCCATTCCAAAAGAGATCAGTCCTGAATATTCACTGGAAGGACTGATGCTGACACTGAAGCTCCAATACTTTGGCCACCTGATGTGAAATACTGACTCCTCAGAAAAGACCCTGATTCTGGGAAAGATTGGAGGCAGGAGGAAAAGGGGACCACAGAGGATGAGATGGCTGGATGGCATCACCGACTCGATGGACATGAGTTTGAGCAAGCTCCAGGAGTTGGTGAACGACCAGGGAGCCTGGCATGCTGCAGTCCATGGGGTGGTAAAGAGTCAGACACAACTGAGCAACTGAACTGAAAGATTTTATGAAAAGTTAGATCAATTATGCAATCATTAAAAAGTACAGTTTCTGAAGAGACTACAGGGTAACAGGAGTAAAAGTCATGAAACTACAATAAGGAAAAAAGAGGGGGAAAAGGCAGAATATAAAATTTGATGTACCATGTGACTATAATATACAGGAACACACATTCACAGAGAGGAGAGTGGAATGAAATATCAAAATGTTAACCAGAATTATATTATGGGCTACAGATGACTTTTTATAAAACTGGATTTGGGAGTATTTTTCAGACTTTTTCTAAAGGATATATATTGCTTTAAAAAGCAAAAAGTAAGTATTAATATAAACAGAAATGTAATTCTATCCCTGTCCCTTTTGGAGGCGTTTAGAAATGTCACACACACTCGGATTTTAAAAATGTGAATTCTTGTTTAATTGAAGGAAATACTTTTAACAATAAAGTGAAACTTCACGTACAAATACTCAACTCTGGAAAAAAACTTTGGTAAAGGTATGAAGTTGGTTGGCAAGGGCTGTGGGTTGAGAGCTAAGGAGATAGTTAGTGCAAGGCCAGTTCCTAATCAGGCCACATGCTGCTGGCAGCCACTCCCCTTCCTCTGTCCAGAAGAGCTCTTGTTCAGATCCAGTCCTTAGGAAAGGCAGACTTACCCTCAGCTCCACTTACCAATCACTCCCCTTGCCAACTGCTGGTTCAATAAGCATGTGAAATGATTCACAACAAGGGCAAGGAAAAAATGATTTGTTGTGCTTTCTGAGACTTCTGAAAGCCAATGCCTCTCTGCCTCCCAGGGTATGTCCAGTGGGCTATGGGACCCAGAGCTGCTTAGTCCAGAGAATTTTACAAAAATAGAGCAGGAGCTCCAAAATCATTTCCGAAGTCCTGTGGACCTCCAAGTCTGAGAGAGAGTGGCTGGGTCTCTGTTACTAGCAGTCAGGGCTTCCTCTGTGGAGCTGACACACTTTTAAGTTGTGTTATTTCCTCCAGGTTTTGAAACAGAATTTGCAGGGTCCTTGCACAACGTGAAAATGCAGGGTTTCTTGTTCAAAATTACTGAAAATTTCAGGACAGTGACTGCAGAGCATTAAGCCAAGGGTAGGGCCCTTCACAGCAAGAGTCCCTGCGAGAGAGTATGAGTCACATATTGGTGAAGCCAGCTCTGGTTACTTCCTTTGTTGGTTCCTACCAAGGAAAGTTCTTTGCCTTGTAACCTCAATTACCTTATATATCAGTGGTATCCAAGTCATCCCCAAGGTCCAATCTTGTTGAGGACCTTTCTCCTCGGTTCTGTTCAGTTGCTCAGTCATGTCCAACTCTTTGCCACCCCATGGACTGCAGCATGCCAGGCTTCCCTGTCCATCACTAACTCCTGGAGCTTGCTGAAACTCATGTCCATCAAGTCGGTGATGCCATCCAGCCATCTCATCCTCTTTTGTCCCCTTTTTCTCCTGCCTCCAATCTTTCCCAGCATCAGGGTCTTTTCTGAGGAGTCAGTATTTCACATCAGGTGGCCAAAGTATTGGAGCTTCAGTGTCAGCATCAGTCCTTCCAGTGAATATTCAGGACTGATCTCCTTTAGGATTGACTGCTTTGATCTCCTTGCAGTCCAAGGGACTCTCAGGAGTCTTCTCCAACACCACAGTTCAAAAGCATCAGTTCTTCAGTGCTCAGCCTTCTTTATGGTTCAACTCTCACATCCTTACATGACTACTGGAAAAACCATAGCTTTGACTAGATGGACCTTTGTTGGCAAAGTAATGTCTGCTTTTTAATATGCTATCTAGGTTTGTCATAGCTTTTCTTCCAAGGAGCAAGAGTCTTTTAATTTCTTGGCTGCAGTCACCATCTTCAGTGATTTTGGAGCCCAAGAAAATAAAGTCTGTCACTGTTTCCATTGTTTCCGCATCTATTTGCCATGAAGTTATGGGACTGGATGCCATGATGTTTGTTTTTTGAATGTTGAACTTTAAGCCAACTTTTTC